AGACTTGAATCCAATGGACAATTAATGGCTTCGCGTACAGACTGTGGAGAGAGGGAGAGAGAGAGAGAGAGATTCATATTATATTAATTAACAATAAATATTAATTAATCTATATCATCACTTAAACTCGCAGCGAAGGCATACTACTAGGTTTAGGACACCCATTGTTGGACATCATAGCGCCGGCAGACCAGACCCTACTATCCCGTTACGGCCTCAACGCGAACGACAGCGTACGGGCCAACGAGACACACACCGGGCTATGCCGTGAACTCACTGCTAACCCTAAGTGCCAATACATAGCCGGCGGGTCCGTACAAAATACTCTACGCACAGCTCAATGGATATTAAAACAACCCTATTGTACAACATTTATGGGTGCCATAGGCGATGATGAGTACGGCCGCATAATGACCAAGGTCATATCCGGACAGGGCGTAAATTTTGTGGCCATGGTCGATCAGACAACGGGCACCGGTACCAGCGCGTGTCTAATTAGCGACAAATCACGGGCACTGGTAGCCTATTTAGGTGCATCGCAAAATATTAGAATCGGTCATTTGTTAAACAATTACAACTATGTTGAAAAGGCCCGCTATTTCTATACATCGGGCTATCACGTGGGTATAGACCCGGAGTCTATTATGAACTTAGCCCAGCATGCACACAATGCACCTGGTAAATTGTTTTGTCTGAACCTATCGGCCCCTTATATTAGCCAAAAGTTGTCGAAACCTCTGCTAGAGCTGTACCCATACGTTGACATACTATTTGGCAACGAAGCCGAAGTGCAGGCCTTTGCCACCCTTAATGGATGGCAGGTATGTATTTATTATTATTTTATTCAATATTTAATATTAAACATGTTTATTATAACAATTAATTTAGTTACTTATTTTTTATTTTCTTAATGAATGTATATTATATCATTTAATCTCAATATAATGAATGTCAATTTTAAAACTCAATATAAAATTAAGTATTATTAATGAATTAGTTATAATTTTGAATTATTTGAACTAAAATAAGATCATCTCTCCCAGGAGTTCCACTATTACTTAAAATATTCTGTCTTGATATATATTATTAATAAATCTATAATAATATACAGTTTGCCAAATTATTAAACAACCATTAGTGTTTGAGCGCAATTGTTTTACGATACACAGTCTAATTATAAACATGTTTGTTATTATGTTTAATTTATCTAATGAATTTATACTTTATAATATTAAATACAGTATCTATATTTCACACCAGTTACTTTCCAAATTATAATTTATAACAGCATTATATACACTTATAAATATACAATAAAATCAAATAAATAAACACAACATTTGTTTAAACAGACAAATGATGTGAAGGAAATGACACGACTGGCCGCAGACATGCCCAGCCGGCGCCCGACCGGCCGTACAGTAGTGATCACTCAAGGAATAGACGCTGTACTGGTGGCCACCACTGGGCACCTGGAAGTTCGGGAATTCCCGGTACCGGTGGTGCCCGAGAGTGAGATCGTGGACACGATAGGAGCGGGCGATGCGTTTGTCGGCGGTTACTTCGCTCAGTTGGTCCGCCACAGACCGGTCGACGCGTGCGTCCGAAGCGGTGTTTACGCCGCACAGCAAGTGATCCGTCAGATTGGCTGTCAATTCCCGCCCGAAATGTTATTTAAATGTTAATGTAATGTATTGTTTGAGATTATATTGTTATTTAAAGTTATTAAATTTTAAGACTGAAAGTAATTTATCTAAGTTATATATTTATTTCATAAATATTAAATGACAATTAATTTAAATAAGTAGTATAAATAAAATTTTTAATCTTGATTAAATATAAAAATTTATGTTGCTAAAACTTTTAATTAATAAAATACATTAAATAAAAATATTATAATAATTACAAATAATTTTTTTATTATAAATGTGTTACATATAGCTTATTATTTGAATCAGTATTAAAACATAACATGTGTTTAATAAAAGTAAATATAATGACAAATTGTGATACTATTAGCCATACATAGATTATGTTCATAAGTCCATAGCCTACCATTATAATATGGGCTATTGTACTAATAATTAACAAGGTAATTGATATCACTTGACTTATTCTACTGTGTCTTTGTAGTCCATATAAGCCACATATAGTTGATACAAATTGTATATTAATGAATATTATTGATGCCAACAGTGATCTGCCTATTATATAACGTATATTTATATAGTACAAGTTATGTATTATCATGGTATTTTTTGAATAAATAAAATAATATATCACTTACTTTTTAAATGCGTACAGCATTTAGACAAGTGATCAATGTTAAAACAATGGCCTAAGAATTTAATTGCATAATATATAAATGTAAATATTAATATTTTATAAATATAATATACGTACAATTTTCCAAATATTTATCTTCGCTGATTTTTGCCCAATTAATATCTAAATTTGTAATTTAATTTATACATTATAAGGATTAATATTAATTAATTTATAATTATGACATACCGTTAATGTTATCATGGTTAAAATATAAATTAATTGTTAAATTTATTTGTCTTAAATAATAAATCCATAGGAATGACAGTAAAATAGATGTAAAGTTTAGGAAAATATTAATTAAAATTAATAAATTTTTTCTAGATATTAAAATATTCATTGGAAATAATTATTGCAAAAATATAAATTATAAAACAATGTTTTTAAATATCAGTTTCTCTATTTTTGTCAGTAATAATGTTCCATAATATAATTTTTTATCTTTATGCTTTTCCGGGAAATAGTGAAAACAATGACAATATTTAAGTAGACTTTGATCTAGATTTTATACTCTCATCCTCTCTCTCTCTCTCTCTCGCATAATTCAAATATGATAATAATTTGTAAATATGTAAATAATTACATAATTTTAAACAATAAAAAATTAACAATAAAATTAAAGAGATATTAAATTTTAAAATATTTGCTTAAATTATATTTTTAATTTGCGTTATAAATATAAAATTAATTTTTTCGAGATTGTTATTACCTTGAATTTTATTTAAAATTTAAAAATATTAATATTTAAATATTAATAACATTTCGCAACGTAAAATAAAAATGTTAATTATTTTATTCACAACCATTAATAGCATATGAAAATAATTATTTGGTAACCATAATCATTAGAGAATATTATTATTTTTGTAATAACAGAAATAATAAAAATCTACTATTAAATAATTAAAATCAGCTATATTTTCCTTAATTATTATACAGGTGTATAAGAAAATTTTTTAAAGAAATAATGATTGGAAATTTCTATATTCATTAGAAAATAATTTTATAACTTTAATGATTTAACAAAAATTAATCTGGGTATTCACATTATTAAGGGCGTAATTATGATCAAGATTGAGGTACCTTATAAATGGATAATTGATTTCTTGACCCGACAACACACAATATATCTTTTTAAACTGTTGAAGGGCATTTTAGTCATTAAAGTAATCTACATACAGTATATGTTATATAAAAAGGGTTTGAATTTTTGATATTATGGGAACTTAATTGATAAAATAAATTGCCCATAGTTAAAAACTCAAATATCACTATCATTAATACAGTATGAACATAATATATAAAATTCTATACGTATATTTATCTATAGCAACGATAGTGGTGGCTCAAAATGGTAAAAATAAAACAAAGCCGCTTGATAAAACTAATTGCAATCAAGCGGATTTTGACACTTACCAGAGTAATGTTTTTGGCCAATTTGGACTGACCGAGCTCACATTTCCCGAAACGCGTGCTGGATTAAGAGTTTACTGCAAGTATAATTTAAAAAACAATGTCATTTTTTATAGTTATTAATCAATTAGTATATTAAAAGTAAGACTAAAGAGAGCGCAAAGTTTGCCAAACAATACGCTAACAATTGTCTGAAGAGCACATCCCAGAAGATAATGATTTTGGCCGCCGATAACTACAGTAAGGCTAATAAAAAATATTGAGATAAGGATGGTAAGTTGAGAAAGCGCTGGATCAACTGGGCTAGTGTGTGGTAACCAAGCTAAGTTTAGCACGCAAAAATGCTGGCTGACTATGATGGAGAATATGGCCAACATTAAATTGGTTAAAAGTAGCAAGGTTAGATTGCCTACAGTGTGTTGGTAAGATAAACAACATTCAGAAGAATAAACCATAATTATTATGATATCTAGTTAAATCTTTACTATTAACATGATTATATTTAATTTTACAGTGCTTATCACGAATGGGTTAAATGCACTCAAAGGGCATTAGAGGGTATGGGAGGCAAGACCTGTAGCCGGGAGGCCGTAGAGGGCTATGCCGTGTATATTAATAAAACATCCATTGACTCAATGAACTTGATTTGCGATAAATACGGGCATTACGTAAAAAAGTGCGATAGATATCGTCGTGATATACCGGTCAATAAACCATATAATATGCCATTGCTTTACTTGTTTGATATTATGGACTCACTTTAATTGAGCTCCATATATAGATCTAGTTTTAAATGGTAAAATTACGATTATTAAATGTAAATGTAATTGATTTCTTATCTATTAAATAAATGGTCAAATATTTTTATTTTACTTAAAACTGATAATAAACGAGAAAATTAACAAATTTACTAGAAACTTCGAAATAAAATATTCATTACTATTAAAAGTAAAATAATTAATTATATGAATTAATTGTTGCTGTAGGATAAACAGAAAAATGCACCTATCTTATGCAAATATTTATAAATTATTATGATAATTTTATAACTTTCATTAATATGACGAATAATTAGATAAGACATGTGGATTTTTCTGTGATATCCATACTGTACTCTCTCTCTCTCTCTCTCTCTCTCTATCTCTCTCTCTCTTTATCATTCAAACATAATTATAAGTTGTATTTAAATAAACATACAATTGTCAAACAATTAAAAGTTAACAATAAAATTAAAGATATTGTAAATTTTAAATTATAATATTTTCAGTTGTATTATAAATAACAAAAGTAGTTATCAACATTTTTATTACATTGAATTTTATTTAAAATTTAAATATGGACCATACAGCGATGTTATACGTTAACCATGAAAATAATTATCTGGTCATTATGGTCATTAGAGAATATCATTATTTTATTTTAAAACATACATTAATAAAAGTTTAATAATTTAAACATTAAATATTATGTTAAACATTAAATTTTATATTTTCCTTAATTATTATACAGTGTATTAAAAAATTCATAAAACAAATAATGATTTAAAAATTTCTATATTTATTAGAAAATAATTTTATAACTTTAATGATTTAACAAAAATTAATCTGGGTATTCACATTAAGGGCATAATTATGACCAAGATAATGTACATTATAAATGGATAATTGATTTATTGACCCGACAACACACAATATATCTTTTTAAACTGTTGAAGGGCATTTTAGTCATTAAAGTAATCTCCATATATGTTATAACTTTATAAAAAGGGTTTGAATTTTTATTTTATGGGAACTTAATTGATAAAATAAATTGCCCATAGTTAAAAATTCAAATATCACTATCACTAATATGACCCTAATATATAAAATTTTATGCCTATATTTATCTATAGCAACGATAGTGTTGGCTCAAAATGGTAAAAACAAAACAAAGCCGCTTGATAAAACTAATTGCAACCAAGCGGATTTTGACACTTACCATAGTAATGTTTTTGGCCAATTTGGACTGACCGAGCTCACATTTCCCGAAACGCGTGCCGGATTAAAAACTTACTGCAAGTATAATTTTTAAAAACTAAACAATGTCATTTTCAATAGTTGTAAATCAATTAATATATTAAAAGTAAGGCTAAAGAGAGCGCAAAGTTTGCCAAACAATACGCTAACAATTGCCTGAAGAGCACATCCCAGAAGATAATGATTTTGGCCGCCGATAACTACAGTAAGGCTAACAAAAAATATTGCGATAAGGATGGTAAGTTGAGAAAGCGCTGGATCAACTGGGCCAGGTGCGGTAATCAGGCTAAGTTGAGCACGCAAAAATGTTGGCTGACTATGATGAAAAATATGGCCAACATTAAATTAATTAAAAGTAGCAAGGTTAAATTGCCTACAGTTTGTTGGTAAGATAAACGAATTCTGCCATTTCCCATAATTATTATGATATTTAGTTAAATCTTTACTATTAACATGATTATATTTAATTTTACAGTATTTATCACAAATGGGTTAAATGCACTCAAAGGGCATTAGAGGGTATGGGAGGCAAGACCTGTAGCCGGGATGCCGTAGAAGGCTATGCCGTGTATATTAATAAAACATCCATTGACTCAATGAACTTGATCTGCGATAAATACGTGCATTACGTAAAAAAGTGCGATAGATATCGTCGTGATATACCGGTCAATAAACCATATAATATGCCATTACTTTACTTGTTTGATATTATGGACTCACTTTAATTGAGCTGCATATATAGATCTAGTTTTAAATGATAAAATTACGATTAAATGTAAATAAAATTTATATAATGGGTTTATTATCTATTAAATAAATGGTTAAATATTTTACTTTCACTTAAACTTGATAATAAACGAGAAAATTAACAAATGTATAAAAATTGTTGACAATTATCTGGAAACTTCGAAATAAACTCTCTCTCTCTCACTCTCTCACGTGTGAACGAATATATTTTACTAAAACATATCATTTCAATTACATATCTATTCCCATAATAACTTTTATTTTTGTATGATTTAATGGACAACAGGTTATAAATAAAACACATTATATATTCAATGTGCAGATTATACCCACTAATGGCATATTAGACAAAGTCAGACCACTTTAATCAAGATTCAATCAAAAAAGAAAAAAGCGATCAAATTTTATATATAACCAACAAATAAAGCAAATGTTTGGTTTACTTAATGTTAACATTTCTTATGAGAAAGTCATAGTATAAATATTTAATTAGGCTAAAAGTTTTAAGTAAATTTTACCATCACTATTTTCACACCCGTAAATATGAGGGTCTATTGTATCGCAGTATTTGTGGCCGTATTGGGGCTATCGTTAGCCGCACCCAAAAAGAGGTCCGAAGATAAAAATTGCAAGAAGGACGATTTTGACAAACACGCCAGCAACGTGTTCGGCCAGTTTGGTCTAGATGAACTCAGTTTCCCGGAGACCAAGTCACAATTGACCGGATATTGCAAGTAAGTGGCATAGTCAATGTCTTGATTATTAATATAATTAAATGTATTCAGTTTACTTATAATTGAGTAAAAATATAATCTAGTAAACTCATATCTGCACCAGTTAAAGTAATGAGTATATAAATTGGCCCACTTGATTAAACAAATATTAATTGTCACAACACTACAAACATTGTTGCCGATAATTAGTGTAATTTATATACAAGTAACCATATTTATTTTACCCAGTTACATTACGTTAATTGCTAAAATATTAATAATAATTTATTATATTTTTTAAAACAAGAAAAATTACAAATTTGCAGCTATTTTAAATTAAATATTACTTTTATTACAGTTTACTAAATAAAGTATATAAAATTCTTATATAAAGTTTGTAATAAATAATTATATATTATTAATATAATATTAATAAGACAAATTAATTTTTTAAATATACATCACCATGTTAAATTAATCAACCACAAATTGTTTTTCATACACACAGGAAAGCCAAAGAGAGCACAGAGTTCTCAAAACAATACGGAGTGAATTGCCTGAAGAGCACATCTCAAACCCTGATGAGTTTGGCCAATTATAACTTTGACAAAGTGAACAAGGCCTATTGCGCCAAGAATGGTAAACTGAAAGACGCCTGGGTTAGTTGGGGCAAGTGCGGCAACCAGGCCAAATCCAAAACAGTCAAATGCTGGGACAGCATGATAGTGACCATGGCCAATGCTAAAAAGATTCAGAATAGCAAACTCCGAATTCCCACCGTATGCTGGTAAGCTAAATTCAAAATTATTATTGTATTTATAGATTATACATTATATTTAAATATGCATAGTTATGCTATTATTATTATGCTATCTCCTCTAGTGATAAACAAATAAATTGTTATAATTTATAATTACATATTTAATTTACTCTCATTAATTTAAAGTTATAAAAACAATCTCGATGGTTATTACATAATAATATACATTACAAAATACGTGTAATATTTGAAACCAACCATAAAACATATATTAAAACACAATTTAAATAATATACTATTAATTATAAATTTGACTTAGCAACTATTACCGGTGGATTAAATGCACCCGTAAATCGTTTGAGGACATGGGAGAAAAGGTTTGCTCAAAAGAGGCTGTCGAGGGCTATACGGCGCACATTCATAAGGCATCTGTCGACTCTATGAACCTGATCTGTTCACGCTACGAAGACAATCCGACCAAGTGCGAGGCTAACTTTAAGGAGGTGCCCAAGACCAAGCCCAAACGCTTGGACAAAATGCCCTTGCTCTATGTGTTTGACCTGTTTGACTCGCTGTAAGGTTGTAATCTAGATATAATTTGTTGCAGGTTACTTTTTCAGGTATATTTTGTGAAGCTAACTTTATTGAATATTATTTATATTTACTCTGATTTATCATAGTTAATTGTTTTTGTGATAAATATTGAGTTATTGTGTAAATTAATATTGAATTTACTCTTCATAATTATATTTTGCATATTGTCATCATATTTAATTATGATTAATTTCTAGCTAATAATACTTACCTTTTAAGTAAAAATGTTATTTATAATATCTTTTCAAATAATAATTCAATCGTGTAATTTTTAACAGGGCCAAATTATTTTGTATTAATTTATTAATGTGTTGACGAATAAAACTTTTCTTTACTTTAAAATAGTGTTTTATTTCAAATATAATTAGAATTGTACACTTCAATATTATTTTTCCATATAATTATTATGTAATTATTAATACCTGTTTGTGAAATAGATAATCAGTAATTATTTTTATGTTAAATCAAAGAATCATTAATAATTATTATGTGAATTGTAATAAGATTGAAGTGTACAATTCTAATTATATTTGAAATAAAACACTATTTTAAGTA